TAATGCAGAAACGATGAATCAATAAAGTGGCAGCAGCACCAGTAATGCCCGACTGTTTGTTTTCTAGCATTGTCAGCTGACAAATTGTCACGCTATGCGAAAACTAAGCAAATAGAATGACAACTCGGAGGAGAGATGATCAACATAGACCGATAATTTAATTAGTTGAGAAATCAAGTAGGCAGGCGAGAATTCTAGAAAATGGCTGAACAAGATTAGGGAAATGGAACAAAGATTGGCGCGATCATATTTTTCCCTAACGGAAGGAAATACGCAATACTGTTGGGGAGTTATTGGCAGATAAAAAGCCAGTTTGAAAGAATAAAAAAAGGTAATTAAGAAATGACGCCAAGCGAATATCCTAAAGAGAGAGGGGGGGCCACAATGAAGCAACACAGCTGTTCAACAAACCGTGCTAGCGACGCAAATTGACATATTGCTAACGTTGTTGTTTTATTGGAGTAAAGAATATAAATTAATTTACTGCAATTATTTTGACCTTCAAGAAGCACCAAGATTAAGTGAGACAACAATAATTTAACCCAAAAGGATCAAATAAATGTCGAGCTCGTATGCATAAGTAATATAGGCATTAAATTGGCGCGAATATAGCGAGAATAGACATGGGTGAATATAGCGAGAAATCGCCTTCATCTCTTTAAACAAACTTTCATCTCAATAAGTTTAGAGGATGATTCAAATTCGCCATTCGTCTATTCTAAAACATAAAGTACTAAACCGAACTACTTTGGAGTTGGAAAGTTGAAAGCTCAAAATTTTGATCTAAAGATTCTGGCCTGCATCCAAGAGTGCATTATATTCCCTATCCCAGGAGAGAGTGAACTGCTGCAATCAAGGAATTCAGAAGAATGCTGAATCTGACATATTCCACCTAATCAGGACACACAGCAACATGAACAACTAATAATCATGGCTGTCAATGTATTTCTTCCGTTAATGGTCCTACAAACTCACTCGATTTTGCATGAGAAAGCTTTGTTCAGATTTTACTCATTGACCCATTTTACGCAACGTGACTTTCATGCATTCTACGAAGACGATTCGTCTCTGTTTTGTTAAATTCGACTTTCTTCCATCATACAATTTTTAAAGCCACGGGGAAGCACGCCTATGGACTGCATTCAAACCTTAGTTTTAGGAATAGCCGTTGCTGCAGTCATTAGAAAGTTTTATTGAAAAAAAAAACATCTGGAGTGCCCGATAGATTTACTTTCACGTGGTGCTCCCTTGGCAACGTATACTTATACGCAAAATAAGTCTATAAACCGGCAGTTGACTTCAAACTACTATAACCTTTCTGCATTTCATATTTGACCCCTTTCACAGTACTCACCTCACCTTTTTCTGCCCTACCTTTTTGCCTGTCTCTTTTAAGTCTTTAAACCATTCTTCTCTTCCCATTTCTCGACTTTTTTTCACTTTGATGTTCCTTCCCCTCCGCGATGCCTGAAGTCAACTAAAGGGCTAATGATAACTATCGAAACGCCCGTCATTTGATATAAATAAATAAATAAAATGATTTTTTTGTTTACCAAAAGAGATGACGCAGAGAACTAAAAATAGTTGTAACATTTACAACAGACAACAAAGAAAAGCTAACACAATGAAAGAGTGCCAAATGTCAAACGCCCAACCACCAATGAAACAAGAGATACAAAAAGTAGAATTTGTGAGTGGAAAAAAAAGAGACAATGCGTAGTCCTCATAACCATTCCCAATCAATTAGGCACACACTAAAACCTAAATTTTATTTTAGTTTATATTAGATTCTCAGTTCCATCCACCATTCTTCCACTTGCATCCCCTTTTTTCGTCGTTGAACTTGCGCTCTCGTAAACAATTTTACAACAAGTTTTGTTGTAAAATTTGTTTTGTTTTTGCAAGCGTACGCCAAACACACTCCTGGAGTCCATATTAGCTTGGAATGACTTCTTTGTTCTACTCTAATGACTTTGAGGGTACTTTAATATTTTCACACAGATGATCTAATCTCATGAAAAGCAGTGAGTTGTTATCTACAAAACAAGCCAATAATCAAAATAGGGAAAGATTTAATTAAAAGGAAGCAGAATTGAATTAATTATGAATGGCGCTATACTCAATTAGTATCAAGCCAAAAGAACCACCTGGAGTAAACAAAGCACTAGAAAATATGCTTGTCAATTTTTTACAGACTTACGGAAAAGTTCCTACTCAAAGCCACAAACTTATTGATATGGGGGGAGGAGGTGCAAGAGATCTAAAGTGAGAAACACACACACACACACACACACAAAAGAACGAGCTGGAGAGTACAAAATGGGGGTGTGGGGAGGGAAGGGAGTTTGGAAGCACAAGACAAAGATCTCAGGGTTTAAACAAAAGGACTTTTGCAAAAAAAGTTCAGAATAACCCAATCGATCAAAAAATTGAAATAAAGGCAATCGTTTATTAACTGACAAAGAAAAGACCAACAATATTCACATGTAGGAGATATAAGTTAAACAAGAGTTTAATATGAATTCAAGGGCATTATAGAGCACTGGAAGTGAGGACGTAAGTGTAATTATTACTCCCACCTATGACATTTTCTTTGTTAAAGCCATAACAAAAGATCACGTAGAATTGAAAATAATGGGGAAAACCAGCCCCACCATCTTTCCCCGTAATAATTTTCACTTCCTTATAATGAATTACTTTTCATTCCACTCAGAATATGCTCGACACTTAGAAGAAATAACTTCCCTTAAGCATTCAAATCCTTCATCGTGCTTTTTAACTTATATTTTATATTTGCCAAAAAAGTGTTCCAATCCGATTCTTACTCACACTTGGCTAATAATGTATATATATATATATATATATTACAGCAACACCGCATCTCATTCGAGCAGAGGAGCATTTGGTGAATCGACCTCGAATTAATACCCACTCACGATATCTCATAAATGATTTATCCCGAGTACAGGAACTCACAGCAAAAAAAAATAATAAGTACAATTGCATGAAGCTTTGTGAGATTGCCTTCCCTTACGCCTAATTACAAGAGACTGTCCTATCCCATCCATACCTAGCTATAATTGGATACCTAATTGGAAAATGTAATCTGGAGATCATGGACATATGTCAAAATAAATTGAGTTAATAATTTAATTTCCTAAGACTTGGAAAAAAGCTGGATATTGGCATTTGCTATGTGTGCGCCTGCTAATGCATGGCTCCAAGACATGATAAGCTAACATTTGCATTAATGCCTCCAAGTGCACAGTTCAAGAAAGTAGGAAGCAGTGAACACTCCAACACTGGCTGTGAACCATTGACTATACTCACCAAGTTGTTACTTGGAAGAACCAGTACCTTTGGTACTTTTAACTAATAAAAAGACGATATTGATTACTTTTTCCCTATTCACAGGGAACCTCTTGTACGTTGGGCGATCGAAACAAATTTGAGCACATCACCAGGAAAAGAACAGCAATTAGAAAATTGTAAAGATTAGAGAGAAATTAAATAGACAGGGAAGTTGCGACGTTGCCAAAGAAGCATGGTTAAAACAACCGCCATTAGCGTCTGTGCTACCGTCTCGAACCCTGAAACCCGAAGCACGCTGATTTTGAACTTTCTTGGAAACCGTCTCAAAATCCGCTTTAATGCCAATAATTAACAGATTTGCTTATGCTGAACAGGAAGAGTAAATATGTGCCTTTATCCACAAGTCCTCTCACATACATGTCTAGCGGGTTATGATCAGTGCAGTTCGAAGGTCAAGCATACACTGGGACCATTTTGCACTTTTCCATGAAGTGTGACTCGAGGCCGTAACTTTGTGTTATACAAATAGCCTATTATTAATTACGCCCAATCGTTAACCAGAGCTTAAACGCTACAGCGCTGAACAATTCCATTTTGGTATTTGAATTTGACTTAATCCTCTCCTCAAAAAAATACGAGGGGAGGCATCACGTCGCCTTCGACAGGGGGGGGGGGGGAGGGACACATCCGAAAACTACGACAGTTTAATGAAAATTAATCTAAAATACCCGAAGAATGTCATTTGGACTGTTTGTAAGACATGCCAGCCGTTATTCTGTACGTCGTGCTTCAGTAAGACATTTCACTTTGCTCAGAAATTTCTTCGTCTCTACCAGTCGGCGATTTTCAAGGGATTTTTTTGCGAGAAGTTGACCTCTACGACCTCTGCTCGTAAGAATAACCTAGGAGGCCCCCAATTGAGTTCAAGATTCATGGTAGGGGCTGAAATCTACTGCTCGTGCAAGATTGCTTGCGGTCCATTAAGCAGAAACCATTATTGCCAACATCGTAATTAATTATGACACACTAATTAAAACCAATCGCAATTTAGTAGGGGGTAGGGGGTAAGCTTCCGTTATCACCAATGCTCTTTGTTATTCGCTAACTTAGCGGATATGCATATTGAACACTTACTTGCTAAACGAATGAAGCTTGACAAGGAGAAAGTAGAGCTAATGAACAGTTTTGGCAGACGTATATAGGCATTAAGGTTAACACCCAGAATGAAATTCCAAATGCTAAACACGTGGACGATTGAATAAAATTGAGAGTGGATTAAGATAAATGAAAATAAATGACAACTTTGGGATTTAGAAGATCACAAGCAATAAGGAAGCAATTCGAAGAATTTCCAATAAATTTAAAAGGATTTCGATAAAAGAAAAGGTTGATATGAGACATCAAGGATGCAGTCAAGTTGTTAATAGCAACCCAGAAGTAGGAACGGATGCCAAAAAACAAGACAATTCAGATAGTATAATGACGTTCATACTTTCTCAGATTTCGAAAACTGTCGCTAAAAGTTGGGACCGACAACAATATGATCACTTGTGCAAAATAGTGAAATGTTTACTAACAACAACTAATACATATACGCAGAGAATCGGGAAAAAAATGCATAATCGAAAGAAGACTGAAGGCGAGAGGACAATCGGGGATAAAAAGCATAAAGGAAATACGGACACAAACTACTCACTAGATTTACGAGATTCAATATTCCGAATAGCAGCCTCTATCCGTTGAGCATTCTGCTTTAACTTTGCAATTTGAGCTTCATCTGTTAAAGCGTCTGGAGTGGAGAGGGTTGGAACAGGAGAAGATTGCGAAGGAACCGAAGCTATTTCCTGATTTAGTGAAACACCATCGGAGGCCAGTGAAGTATTATCAGCCGTCTCAGTCATTGCTGGTGAGGTATCCAAGGTATCCTTCGTCCTTTTGGATTCATCCGAAATCGAAACAATTGCAGGAGAACCACGGGTAGGTTGAGAGGTCTGAAATGGTACTGGAGGATTCGTAATGTCCCTCGCAAGCTGTAACATAGACCACCAATAGTCATGCCGGGTGCCAACATCCCCAGACATTGGCATCATTATTTGCGCCGGAAGGGATGTTGTAGAGGGTCGAAATGACCGAGTGCGTGTTTGTTGATGAGATAATTTTCGAAGGCGGCGGGATTTTTTCCGCATCGGAGAGAAGATGCGCATAACAGTGGAAGAAATTCGACGGGAGTGTGGTTTGCGCCGTTCATCGTTTGACAATCCAGGAGGATCGAAACCCACGACAGAGGCAGAATTGGGCCAGAGGGAAAGGAAAAAATGAGGGTTATGAGTTAGGGCTTCCAAAATCATTGGATCTGGGGGAGGCAGTCCTGTATATAATACCTGAATAAGGTGACACATAAACTCTGAAGACGTGGTGTTAACTGACGTAGCAGCAACACCATGGAAGGGCAACTCCACGTTACTAATCGGACCATTGAGGTATGCATTATTAAAATGGGAGTGATTAGGAATACTCGAAGTATAATAAATATCCCCAAACAAGCAGTCCGATTTACTTCGTTGTTGCCCTATCACCTTAGAGGCCATACTTTTAGACGATAACAATGCATCTAATGCATCAAAAAATATTAAGGAAACGTATTTGATTCAACTTTAATCATTATCCAATTAGAAATGCGTGATTCATTGCAGTTTGTTCTAATTGGCTAGTCAATGTGCGGCGTGCTCATGATTTGAAATGAAAGTGCATAGCCTGACGAAACTACGAACGAAGAAAGCTGGAATTCAGATATTTTTAATCACAATAAACTAATACTAGCGAATAAGTAAATTTAACCAATCAGACACATTTGATTTATACATACTTACACTTCAGGCGCAAGAGTTTTTTAGTTAGTAACAACTTGATCCGTTAATTCAACGCCAGATGCCCACAATTATGAAAAGGGCTCTTTTATTGATTCTTTGTGAATTCAACTAGTTAAATGCAACTCACCGCGAATTTTAGAAAATCAAACCGAATGTTGTACCACCTAGACAATTCCAGTCAGCATGGAGTTAATAAAAAATGGTTATATATTGGGGATTCATTGAGGCTATTTAAATGCTTGGGTTAGTTACGCTTTAAATAAACCTTATAGTAACGGTAAAGCAGATGCCTTTAACAAATATTTACCAATCAGTTATTTGAAAGATCCAGTTGATTAAAGTGGCTACAAAGCAAACGTAATAAAACAATAGGCAATTACAAAGTAATACAATGAGGAGAAACAAGGGTGCCATCAAGTGTACTGCGCTGATTAGGAGGTAAAGGACGAAAGTGAGCTAGTTCTACCTTAAATCAATATATGAGACGTCCAAAATTGTCAAAAGATACGATAGCTAAATGGCCCGTAAAATTGTTGTAGTGGTTTACTAAAATTTGCAAAATATACCTTCTTTAAGGACAATTTCAAAGGAGTCTACAATTAAACTCCGCAATATTAGCACAATTGAAAACTGCATTTAGCGCTGGTTCATCGATCGCTCAATTAGGGGCAGATGTTTACACACTTGGAGTAAAATCAAGAGATATGAGCAATCGACATCAGCTTACTATCACCCCACTCACCCACGCCACCCCTCCGCCCCCCCCCCCCCCCCCCCCCCCCCCCCCCACGCCTCCTAAAGTGTTTTTTTTTATAAATGTACCATGATAAAATAGTATATTAGAAATCCGAAGAAAAAAAGCAGAAGTATTTCGATATAATTATCTCTCACGAAGCAAAGGAGAGTTAAGGCAAGCTAGACGTAAATTTATTTTCCTTCAAATTAGAAAATCTCATTTGGAACGTTATGGCAAGGATAAGAGATTAGTTGAGATTTTGAAGAAAAATAACAATACTTAAAGATGGCAATTTCTACAATTTCAAGTAGGCAATAAATTATGCAAAGTAATATATTTTAGTAAAGAGGTGCGCGATAGACTTGCCTCTACGTGGTGCAACCTGGGCAACGTATGCTCATATGTAAAAAAGGTCTATTAACCGGCAGTAGACTTCTGACTTCTAACTACCATGACCCGACTGTACGCCATATTCCACCACTTTCACGCTAATCATCTTACCTTTTTCCCCACCTTTATGTCTGACTCTTTGACATCTTTAAATCACTCTTCTATTCCTCCTCTCGAATTTTTCCCACTTTGATGTTCCTCCCCTTGGGGTGTGCGATAGACTTACCTCCACGTGGTGCACCCTGGGCAACGTATACTCATACGGCAAAAAGGTCTATTAACTGGCGATTGACTTCTGGCTTAAAACTACCATCACCCCACTGTATGTCATATTCGACTACTTCCACAGTACTCACCTCACCTTTATTCTACCTTTTCTACCTTCGTCTTTGAAGCACTCTTCTGTACTCCCCCTCTCGACTTTTATCACTTTGATGTTCAACTAAAGGGCTACTGATAACTATCAAAACGCCTGCCATTTGAAATAAATAAATATGTTCCTCTCCTTTGCAAAGCACGAAATCTGCCAAAGGGCAAGTGATAACGATCAAGACGCATGCCATTCGATACAAATAAATAGATCTTAGTGAAAAATCGTATATGAGCCCGACATATTCGAGTGTACGTTAGGGTAGAAAATATGAAATATTGCAAGCAAGAAATTTAATTAAATGATGCATAGGTTATATAAAATAAAAGTGAAGTACAAAAATATACATATATATACTACTAAGTATTTGTTAGTAGCTTGAATTAAAGGGTTTTTGGAAATCGAAGAATAAAATTCAGTTGAGGGAGGGGGGTGTGCGATCAGCTTACCTCCACGTGGTGCACCCTGG